GTTGACATTGGTCAAGACCTTTCCATTAAAATCACCCAACTGACCTTTTTCCCACAGGGCTGACTCTTCTTCAGGTGTGATTGGCTGAGCTTTGTTGGGTCTCTTTCCCTTTCCTTGTTGACGTAGGGAAATTGCTTTCGCATTGAGGATTTCTTGTGAGGAGTGAAACTCTCTCGATCGCACGATGCTCAATGGATAGTTCTTCTCCTTTAGATACCGTTCAATGGCACTCTGCATGATTTTAAGGGATTCTGGCTCGTAGTCATCTCCGTCCTTTTTTTTTTCACCTCGGCATAAAACTTACTCAAGACCTTGTCAAGTTTTTCAGGCGCCATTGTTTCGAGAGAGACATATTCAAGATGGCGGCACTGACACCAGCTTCTGAAAACATTCATCCATTGTTTTGTGGAGCGGGACGTATTTTTATTCGAAGTGACAGACTTAAGCTCCTGTATTTCATCGCTTGAAATGATAGGAAATCTTGAAACATCTAACTCTTGTGGTGGCTTTTGATTTTCTTCGTTTGTTGCTGACTCGGTGGACTCGGGATTGTGCGGATTTTGAGCTTGATAGGGTAGAAAATCGTCAAAATATTCACCAAAATGTACACGAAAAGTGGGAAAGTCCCTGGAATGTTGGTCTTCAGCCTGAAGGATCTCATTGTCATCATTCAAAAACTGGTAAAAATTAAATTCATCCATTTTTGGGGGGGAAAAATAAGAGTTATGGAAACAAAAGTTGCCAAATTTGCGAAATGATACTCTTTGTCTTTCATTTTCCTGCAATTTGATTGGTTACTTTAAACAAGCCTTGAAATCTGATTGGTTGTTTTGTTTTAAGTGTAACTTCCTCATTGGCTAGAAAAAAGATGCGATTTAGAGCAAAAAATGGTGCGATTCGTGAATAAATCGCACCAATTAGAGCCAATCAGATTGCAGGGACCACCAGTGATTTCAAAATGGATGTAATAAATTCATGAATCGCACCATTTTTTGTTGTAAATCGCATCTTTTTCCCAGGCAATGGGGAGGCTACACTAAAAACGAAACGACCGATCAGATTTCAAGGCTTGTTTAAAGTAACTGATCAAATTGCAGGGAAATGAAAGACAGAGTACCATGTGGCAAAGCACGTGACGAGCTTCTGGTCATTAGTAAGGGGGGTCATAAGTTGATATACATATTTCTATCTTTTGTGTTTGTTCTTGGGCATTGTACTGTACTGTACTGCACTGCACTAGCTGGTGTTGTAAATTAATTAGAATCAATTTCCGCATAGCTTTGTAGAATAATATCGTAGATTATCGACTGTAGACTCTCAGAAGATCTGAGTCACGTGCTAGGCAACCACTGTCTCGTGTGAATTTAACTGGCTCTACCATGGGCTTTAAGTGCGTAAAGCCAGTTAAATTTACGCCCGTAGTTTCGTAAAAAGTTACGCGACAGTGGAAATTGTTAAATTCACACGAGACAGCGGTTGCCTAGCACGTGACGAGCTTTTGGTCATTAGTAAACTTGTATTTTTTGTTTTTGTTTTTGGGCACTGTACATACTTTACTGCACTGTACTAGCTGGTGCTGTAAATTTATTAGAATCAATTTCGGCATAGCTTTCTAGAATCATATTGTAGATTATCGACTGGAGACTTTCAGAAGATCTGTGTCACGTGCTAGGCAACCACTGTCTCGTGTGAATTTAACTGGCTTTACCATGGGCTTTACGTGCGTAAAGCCAGTGAGATTCACGCCTGTAGTTTCGTAAAAAGTGACGTGACAGTGGAAACAAATACGTATCTTGCATGCATTTTCTTGTAGAACTCTCCTTGTCCCATATTAGACATGTCGAATCCAGCGCCACAGAAACGAAAACGGGCCTATCGCCATCGTGTTAAATGCTCCGAATGTAAATAAGAAATCGTTGCCGAGTACCAAGACGCTCATGCAAGAACCAAGCATATAGGCAAGAAAGTTAAATTTACTATTTTGTCGTGCGCCAAATCAATCGTAACTAGGTTTCACTGGCGGCGATGAAACCATTACCAATATGGTGCTTCAGATACGACAGAAATTGTAGATAACGGTGCTAACTCTGACATCGAGCATAGTACTTAAAGGGATATGTCCATTTCAGTTGTCATAGATAATCGTGTTCCAGAAAAGTCACTTAAGTCAGCTATCACGTATAATGGTGCTCCAGATAAGTCAGATATCGTGGATGGTGCGCACAATTTGTCATTGGATACAAATTTATGTAGTGGTACTTGCCTAACGTCCAGTGATATAGATGAGAGTCCTCAGCAACCGATTTTAAAGTGCTACGACCCAAAAAAATTTGGAAGTGAATCTTTCTCTAGAGATTTCAACCCAGCCTGGTACAAACGATATCCATGGCTGAGCTACGACTTTGAAACTAAGAAAGCGTGCTGTTACCCATGCCAGAAATACTTGAATGCCCACGATTTCACGTTTGACAATTGGATGAAGCCAGACCGTCTTACTAAACACCACAAGAGTGAGAACCATCAAATGGTCATGGTGAAATGGATTGATAGTAGAGCAAATAAGAAGAGAAATACTTCAATACTGAGCAAACTCCAGGAATCACACAAGCAAGATGTGAAGTAAAATCGTGACTACCTGAAAGTTATCATTGAATGTCTCATGTTTACCGCCCAGCAGAACATCGCCCAGCGTGGTCACGATGAACAACGTGATGGTTTGAGTAATAGCAGTGATGTAAATAGAGGTAATTTTCTGGAACTAATTCACTTGCGGTGCAAGGACATAGCTTGGCTAAAGGATAAACTCGATAGCCAGCTTCAGAAGCACGCGCAGTGGACATCTCCCGTGATACAAAACGAACTGCTACAAATTATTGCCGATCTCATTCGCGAGCGTATCACAAACGATGTGCGAGCCAGCGGATGGTATGGTATCATCTTGGATGAAACATCAGACATTAGCAGAACAGAACAAGTTTCACTTTGCCTTAGTTTCGCGCTGAATGGAACGAAGAAGGAAGCATTCATTGGTTTCTACTCCACGAAATCAACCGAAGGAGAAGTACTGTATGAACTGGTGAAATCCTCTATCACTGAACTCAATCTTGACCTAAAGAACATTGTTGGTAAAGCATTCAATGGGGCTGCTAACATGAACGGTGTACACAAAGGACTCTCGACAAGAATGGAAGAGTGCTCCCCGTTCGGTATCTACGTTTTTTTTTGTTTTGTTTTGTTTTTTTTCATTCATTGTCGCCTTTCCGCTCCAAAGGTCATGGCGGATGGACACACTGACACGAGCTCCGCCTCAAACGTTCCTGACTCATCCTCTAATTTTCACTACGAAGGTAATTCTTTTGATTTCGAACAATATTTATCATACAACGCTGATAAGAAAAGGTTTAGCTGGAATGGAACCCTCGAAGAGCTTGAAAGTTTTGTCGACACAAAACTTTCGCGGTTGATCGATGATGGCGACAACGGTTTAAAGACAAAGAAGTCATACAACAGCTCTGGTGCTATCCTAAAGCTACCGAATGTAACACTTAATTTCTACCGAAACACGAAGACGCTCCAAGTGCAAGGGAAAGCGGCTGAAGATGTAAGAGACATTCTTAATGAACTGATTCAAAATAATTTGCTTTTTGCAGATTTGACTGAAGATACTGCCGAGCACAGCATCGCCTCCGGTATGATCAACGAAGAACACACTTCTTCAGTGAACAACACTTTGATAACTGACCAGAATGACTCTCAAACCGTTTAAAACGAAATTGACAAGGTTTGGAAAGCTATTGACGCCATTAAACGAAAATTTGAATTTCCCGCGAATCTGTCCCAAGTGGATGCGTTGCAACGTGAAATTGATGAATACAAATTTAAGTGCGCTGAGTACGAAGTTAAGATCTAAGAACTTCAACAAGAGAAAGCAAGTTTGATGGAATCTATTAAAATTCTTTCTTCAGATCTTTCGTAAGTTCACACGACCCAAAACCTGCTTCTGATGACTGGCAAACCGTTACGTCAAACAAGTCTAATAATCCTAAACGAGGGAAGAAGAAAAAGAAAGGCAAAGCCAGTTCCCAGAACCAGCAACTACAAATGGAAAACAATGATACTAGTGAGAACGGCCAAGGGGAGCAAAGACCTAATGAAGGCACAATCATTGTTGGAGATTCGATTGTCAAAGGATTACGCAGGGACTTATTAAGTCGGGCAGCTAAACAGCGCGTAACTGTGAGAAGTTTCCCTGGTGCTACAACCGCAGATATGGACCATTATCTACAACCAAGCTTGGCTAAAAAACCGAAGGCAATAATGCTCCACGTGGGAACAAATGATCTGAAAACTTCATCCTCTGCTCGGAATGTGGCGGAGAAAATTGTCGACCTGGGGAATATAATTGCTACAAACTCTCCTCACACTAGTGTAACCATTTCTGCAATCACACAAAGATCAGATGAAGAATCGCTCAAGATCAAAGTAAAGGACTGCAACAAAGTCTTAAGAACATTTTGTAATCAGAATGGTTGGGGCTTTGTTGAACACTTGAACATTGACGAAACATGTCTGAACAATTACAAACTCCACCTTAACAAGAGAGGTATTGCTATTTTAGCGAGTAATTTTGTAAATAATATAGTTCATTGATATGATTCTTACTTGACTACTGTGGCGACAGCTAACCTCACTGCCACCTCTAGCGCCCGGATCAAGTCAACTCTAATGCCGAAGTGTCGTGGATTTAAAATGGCTAGTTTGAATATCACCAGTCTTTTGAAACATATTGACGAACTTCGCGTTTTTCTAAATGATCAAAACATCGACGTTCTAGCCATAAATGAGACCAGGCTAAATGATAGTATTTTTGACCAGGAGGTAAAAGTCCAGGGTTATGATATAATACGCCGTGACAGGTCAACAAATGGCAGGTTTGGTGGTGGCGTATGTTTTTACATTCATTCAAACATAAGCTATTCTGTACGCACAGATTTGGACAGTGAGCTCCTGGAAATAATATCAATTGAAATTCGTAAACACAACTCAAAACCGTTTGTTATTACTTCATGGTATAGACCCCCAAATTCACTCCATGAACTTTTCACGCACATCAACACATTATTAGGCAAATTAGATTCTGAAAACGTAGAATACTTTCTCATGGGGGATCTAAATTGTGACTTGCAATCCAAAGACAATGGAAATGTAAGAGCTCTTCTGAACATAACAGACATTTA